TATGAAGGTAACAGTCGAAGTGCAGCGAAACGGAGCTCCGCCCACGAAGGGCGGCCCGTGCGTTAAGTTGATGCATATAGCAAATTCCACATCTGTAAGAGGGCGTACCACAGAAACGTAGAATTGATTGAACTTAATGAAGTTGGTCAAATGCTCAAGGTTGGCAGAACGTGCTTCAAAGATAGTGAAGCTTTACTCCAAAAATAGCTGAAGCACATGAGCGCTTCATGAGAAAGAAAAAATGACAGATCAACCCCACATCCTATCGGCAATGAAAAACCATGCTCAGAAAATCAACCTTACTCCTGTAATGCTTCATCACTGGGCGGAAGCCTGCAGATAACAGGTAAGTAGTAGATCTCCTACATATAATGACAGTGGTGGAACCGAGAGCTATTATGCAGCCGATGGTAATACAAATGATGTCACCGGTCCATAATGGAATTTCAAGCATCTTGAAATGAAAAAATTCAAACACGTACCTTACTCGACAGATACATAGCTCATTACAGCAATAACTTTGCGAACAATCAACAATGGCATGTTTATTTTGAAATAAAATGCCTCTGAGGTTCACAGACTTGCCATGGTAAAACCCGATCGCGCCTCGGTGTTAATCAGGCCGTTTCCTTCCCAGTCCCACTGCTTCTTTTTGTAAGTACTATGCAGGTTCAAAAACGACCTGCACAGCATCATGATCAGCATTTTCATCAATTACAAAACCATTCGTAGCTTTGTATTCCAGAAAAGGCAATTAGAACGTAAAACACGAACCATTACAACGCAAAAATGAGCCAATAAACACGAAGTGCATGAATAATAAAAGTTACAAACCCAGATGAGATCGTGTCGAAAAATCTTCTTATGAGCAGGATAGAGTAGTCCACAAGTGTCACACTTGTGCCGTTGCCTCGGCTCGAAATTGCGCGACAGCAACGCTAGAGCCTTACAAAGTGATCTGATGGCGACTAATGTGAACTTTCGTACTGTTGATGACTTCATCGACGGCTTGCTTTGGTTCTTTATTTCACAATCAGTCAGATCGCATCCACAATTTCAATATTGACCGTTGTTACCTCCGCAATTTCATCTGGGGCCGTATAGGTATGCTTCCCCGAAGGATTAGGGGGCGAAAAATCATATTAAAATTATCTCCTCATCACAACTGGATTGTTCCTGATTAAAGGGCTAAATTTTATATATGTTGTATAAAGAACAGTGTCGTTCAAAATCAAAAGTTTAAAGGACCGTTTGCCGCGCAGCATGCGGGAAGCTACTGTCGGCCCTGGGGTTGTTGCTTTGAACGAATGCGTATCTACAGGTGGACCGAAATCACGTGACCACGAGTGTGCGCAGCTATATTTAAGTTTTCTGAGCCTACACTTTCATCTTCTTGTTGTGTCCCATGTGATAAATTATCGATTTTTACTACAGGCACCAAATAATAGCATGCAGAATTCAGCATATTGAAAGCATCATATCATCGTGCGTCAACCATTAAATTCCTTCGACGGGAATCCTGCACGCAAAATACCGGCGCTTCAATGTGTCAGAACCACTATACTCCAAGTTAAAACGTTTCACTGAACTTGGCATAACCTCTTCGTCAAGAAAAACAAAAAAGACCCACTGCAGCTACTGATACGCAGCCAGCGCAATCGACACACGGCAGATCCTTCTTGTTTACGAGAGAATCTTCGTGCGTAAATGCAAATCTACGCCAAGAAGAATGGTACAGTACACAACACATTCTACGATGGTGTTAGCCGGTTCAACCTCATAACTCGTTGCTTCTCGTGCCTCAAAGAATGACAACTTATGAAGAAGCATATGTGGACCTTCTAACAAGCGACCGCAACACTTCGCTTCGCCTTAATAATACATAAATCCTAGCATCAAAATCATGTGCTAAACCACAAAGGAGTTGGACATTTAAAAAAAAACACTGTGAATCAGTCCTTTACCATTTCGAGGCATTTTACCTACCACCGCGTACACCTCCTCATCGCCTCAACGCCGTATGAGGGCAGAGGGAAGGGGGACAGAAAAGCTTGTAAGCTGGAGCATGATCACAATAAAAACATCTCGTTAAGCTAAGCCGCAAAACCAAACCTCTTCTTGTTCTGTTAACGGCCAAATTTTTCCTGCCACACTGCTTATCAAATCCACGGCACTTTGTGGACGGGCAGATACACCGACAAACTTATGACGAGAAGCGAACAAGCGATTAACAGGCATACCACGTGGCTCAATTAAAAGTGGAATTCTACACGGAGATATCACTTGAAGCGCCCTGGAGACTTAGCAGCTTACAACTTTCCAGAGTTGGAGAACCCATTGAAGCCGACATATTTCATTACTGAGAAACCACTTGATACTGTGATACCCAGCTTTCCAAAGTTCAAATCACGAGTTCACATCCTAATCTCTCAATGCTTGGAGTGGGGGATCCGCCCATTAAGGAGGGTATACGCACCTACAGATTATATCGCCTAAAGAAAAAGAATGGGAGGTCCAGCCGACAAGAAATTGACCAAACCGACAACTAGCTCTAACTTTATTTTCCCTGGGGAGAAATCAATCAATGATGTACCCTCTACTTACTCATGACCTCTTCTGAACATTCCACCTTAGGTTGCCGAAAAAGCTTTGCCGTGTTTCTTTTCGAATTGGCTGACCGATAAGCCATAGCAATTTTCAAATTGAAATTGTTCCTCGTAAACGCCATTGTTTCATATCGAGTGGTGTTCCTTTTGTGAGCACTTCTTCTGCTCTATTCGCTCATTTGTTTTGTTTTTATGTTTGTTGGGAATTAGTTCGAATTTTAGGTGTTTAGGAATAAGGTGTTTTATCCACGAAAGTGACCGCATTTCTTTGAAAAAATTATCCCTGAGAAGATGAGAAAATCAACCAGGCGTACATTCCTAACTTAGTCATGACTTGTTCTTTAAATTCTACTAGTTTTTCAATGTCTCGGCTGTAAAAAAATTTCGACCTAGATCTCAGGTAATGGTGCTCGACCGTCGAGTTCTGGTTGAAAAACCAGGTCTGGAAATGGAACGACGCGACTTGTTGGGAAACCTAATAGTGTAATGTTTAGAAGAGGTCATGATAAGTAGAGGGTACATCATTGATTGATTTCTCCCAAGGGAAGATAAAGTTAGAGATAGTTGTCGGTTTGGTCAATTTTTGTCGGCTGGACCTCCCATTTCGCAGGCCTAAAATTTGAAAACCCTGGAACAGAGGTGGAAGAGGAACATAGCATCTTGTAGAGCAGACAATTCTCTTTCGAATGGTATATAACACGATGTAAAAGCATGGTGTATGATGGTGTAAAAGCTTGAGGATTTAGATGAAATTTTTTGGTTGAAAAAAAGCGACACTACTTATGAGACAACCTAATATTTAGGCTTCCCGTAGACTTCCCCCCCCCCACCTTCGGAAATTGGAATTTCTGTATGCAGCAGAACTGGTGTCCTACCACAACCTGCACCTTCCAGAATGAGACCCTGGAGCAGCCTTGCTTAATGCTTACCAGATATCCATCTTTCACTACTGGAATAAATGCCTAATAACACGATAGCTTGTGACTAAAGAGCACACCTATACTTCGATGTTTCTAAAACGAAGCTTATGCTTTATCGTTCATGCAACTAACTCAACCAAAATACGTGAAATACCCACCCAAAGACTCTTTGTAACTCCTAATCTGGATCATAACTGTGTTATTAGAACCATGCGCTCTTCATAACAGAACAAAACGCCTTCCTATTACAGGAGAAACAGCAACAAAAGAACAAGAAGGTAAGAAAACAGGAAGAATGGCTTCTTTCTATAAAGCGGGAACACTGGCACATGACTAACGGCGAACAGAAACTAAATGCTCTGCATCTCTGCGCCGGCTGGAAGCAGAACGATTGCGTAGTGGCGAGTGAGTGCGACAGAAGGGAGACAGAGACGTGAAAGACCACGCAAGGTCGAATAGACAGGTGAACGAGGAGCACTTGTCCTCGGCGGTGCCAGCGAATTCGAAAGTCGGTTTCGCAAAGGTCATCGATTGGCAATTGGAAGTGGAAGGGTGTGATTGATTACAGTGGAGGCATTTCTGCTCATTCAAACGAGCCAACTGTATGAAGTCAACAAATGTGGTGCGTTTAGGTGGGCTACTACTTGTCGAGAAGAAGGGAAATAACTGCTACTTAGTTGGGGCAGGGTCAACCCTATGTTGCTACAAGTAGCAACGGGGGGGTCGTATTTTGATGAGTTAGAGGGGGGGTCGTACTTGCTTCGATTGTAAGAAGTTGCATGAGATGAGTGGGGAGTGGCGCGGGAGAAAATTTGCCGTTTCAGCGCGCGTATATACCCCTCCCCCTCCGCTCGACGGGATTTTTGGAGGTAAAAAGTGGGGCGGGTTCTCATTGGAGAGATGGAGTGGGGAAAAGGCGGTCGTACCCAATCCCCACCTTGGAGGGGAGGTCCCCCGTCGTAAAAAATTTTCAAAAAAATACCAACGATAGACCGACCCTGGTTGGAGGACCACCGCCACCGGATGGCATTGTTGCGTCTGTCCCCCAAAGCTCCTCCCCGATGCGCGTATTTCGAACACGAAACCAACTCTATGACGAAATGGTACACCGCTCTCGGACTAAGCCCGACGTCATAGTCGCGATGGACCAAGGCGATGGAGCGATGCGATTCAATCGCTTGTCCGTCGCTTGCCGCAATCGCTCCCCTTGGTGCCGTCCGCCGACTATGACTCGGTCCTAAGCCTTGAAGAGCCAAACGAACAAGCGCCGCGCTCGACGCGTGTCCCCCACTAGTTAGCACCGGGGCTGATTTTTGATGGTGGGCTTATATCAGTAGGGTTACGCCCCCCATTTTTAAACAAAAAATGTCATTTAAGTATAACTGCTGCCCGCTACTTACAGAGATGTCACGGCGGCCACTGCTAAACCCAGCGGGTAAGCAATATTATTCTTCGCAAATTCTTTCTGCGCAAAAATCGGCATATCCCTAACCAGAACATATCCCTAAACAGAACCCGTGCAAGCTTTCTGAAAAAAATTTAATGGCAAATTACGATATGTTGAAATCTTCAGTGACAGCAGGTAGGTGCTAGCAACGCCCATCGCCGCAAACCAAAACATGTGAAAACTGGCTTCGTAGAGGTGTCTAGTGAACTTGCGGCATGTGTGAGTGCGACTCATTGGCCCCAGGCACCAACTTTGCTTTTCAGATTAGTTCGCAGATAGTGATTCTGAAGAAAACTGTTTTCAAAGCTAAAAACTGCAAAAGTGAAGTTGACCTTTGGTTCCGAGGACAAATGTGAGTCGCATGTTGTTTCTGGTTAGTTGTTGCGAAATTTCCTGTGTTTAGTACAGAGAGCCTCACGGTAAAAGCGCTTCAGCTCTTTCGGCGCAATATGCCTTCGGGGGGGGACAGTCTATTGGAAGGTCAATAGGTCTAAGCCTAACACAGAGGGACGAGTTCCGGAGCGAATGAGAACTGCTTACGCAGCTCGGATTCCCTCTTTTCCGTCCAAAGTTAGTTCCAATACTGAAAGTGTTCGTAATCTGACGCAATGCTAGAGGCTGGCCCCAGAGCCACACTGCACCGGTCTTTCGAGATTGCTGCGATAGTGGAAGTTTGTTGCTCTTCTCTCTTGTTACGAAATTTACGGCATACTGTGACAGGCATGTTGATCGTAATGTGTGCAATCTGCGGTCAACGTCCTAGTGAACGCCTAAATAATTTTGGAACGTAGTTTGCCTAGTATTGCACTTGTTAATCTTCCACGTTTCTTTTCCAATTCAGGTGCTATTCCAATAGAGTGAGAATGACATGTGAACGCAGGTTGTGGACGCTGTTCCTCCTAAAAATCCAATTTTTGCGGAGGAGTGAAGCTCCGTCGTGTAGCACCTATTCTCTCTCTCTTCGTTTCCTAGTAGGAGCCTCCGGACTGCATTTTGGGGATTTTCGCTACACATCTAAGAAGTTCATGTCGTTGGAGGGAAGGGGGAACACTCAAGTGAGTTAGCCAAGTGATGTGCGTGTGATGTGAGCAATGTGAGCAATTTATGCTCTTCCTGACGTTTCTCCACTCGTCTGCTTGTTTCGTCGCAGTCTCACTCTAACTATCGGCTCTGTTCTGATGTCCCCACCATGGGACACCGCGCGCCACCATCGATAATACTTATTGCTGATTTTTGGTGCTATACAAGTAGGGTGGGCACGCCGCATTTTTTGAACAGAAATGTATGTCAGTGGGACTGCTGCTCGCTACTATACTGTCACGAGAATTGGGGAGTTCGTGAGCCAGGGGGAGTGTAGCCAATCTAGGGGGTGGGGGGTGAGGGCAGTCACTTGACATGCGTGAAAAGCTGGGTGTGCCCACCCCACTTGTATAGCTCCTATGATTTCAATTCTTTTGCCTTAACGAAGAACTCGTTTTTCCTTTTGGAGACTTTTTGCTTCAAATTTTTGCACGATGAGTTGTCCAGTTATTGCGCCTGAGACGTTATGAAGTGTTCATAGTTGGCAATCGTACGTGCGATTAGGCGAGTAGGCGAGTGGGCGATAAGGGTAGGATACGTATTGATTTGTTGCTCCGCTTATTGAGCGATCGCTTAATCGCCTACTCGCCTACAACGCTCTATGGGCGGAGGAAAACAGTCAATTCGTATCTAGTCTTCGGAGGTATACGCCGAGATGCTCGCCTCTTTGAAAAAACTTCCCGCGCGCGCTCGTTTAAACAGATGTCGCACTGGGGCGAGCTTTCTCCCAGCTATACTGGTGTTAGAGTCACTACGGAAATCCTGAAGGAATGCGACTTGTAGAGGTAGATGTGGTTCACAATAAAGGATTAACTTCCCCAAAAGGATTTTCTTGAGAGTCAGCGTTTGTCTTCTTCGTTAGGTAACTTTCTTTTGTTACTGCAAAGCGGGGGAGGAAGGGGGAGGGTGCAGTCTGTAGGAGGTTTTCTGGAACTGAGCTACGGAGGGAGACGATTTTGGAGAGAAAGGTTGCTCACGCACTTCGGAGCCACTCTTCTCCTTTGAGGCTCAGTCCTAAAACTGAGCGTTTCCATAACCCTAATGCAGTGTGTCGCATGCTGCCGTTCTCGCCCACCAAGCCCCACTGAGGATGAGTACTACATCTCTTATATTCTAGGCAAACTGGTGATATTGCTCTGCCTTTAAGGGACTGTGACTGAGCTTCTACTACTAATTTCACTGTATTCAAAACGATTTGCGCACTCAACATATTGCCGTCTCCTGGAGAGCACATTACTGAAACCCATGAATATCGGCAGATCTTCGTTCGGTGAAAATTTAAGGCAACCTTCTGATTTTCACCTGTAAACACTAATAAGCTAGCACACGCAATTAATGCTTTCAGCAATAATCAAGTATCGTCCACATCTTATTCTTATTTAATGCAGTTTACGCCAAAGATTATGTTAGAAAGTTCATCACAACTGTTCCTATGATTCCTCGCTTTTTCGTGACATATATGTATCATTATTACTTTTGCTGAGGTCACTGACTGGTGAACAGCCTTTGAAAACACCGCTGTAGATATTTGAAAGGGTGATGGGCTTTGCTCTCACGACTTACTGGATGGAAGCACAAAATCCAAGCAGTTCGCAGCGAAAAACTCCCCGATAAATTGCTCTAAGTTGCCTCCAGTGTGGACTTAACGAAGATTAGCGTCAACATACTGACATTTTATCATTTTCTCAAAAAAAAATGTCTTGCAAAATAACAATTCAATGCTACAAGAGATAGGAAAAACGATGATCGATTCTTGTGGGATCAAGAAGAGGTACATTTGTGGTGGTGCCTAAACTCCATCTTCCATACTCTCATTCGCATTCCGCAATTCTAAACTCCCATGCTTCCAATCATTACCTTACTACACAAAGACGCTTCCCCACCAGTACTCTCGTGCGAACGACCGCATCCCCTAGTTATCATTCCTGCTCTCCTGCTAGAATATCTATACTCTTGCCTGCGGTGGTACCAGTGCGGAGAGCAAACTCAAAATATGGGAAAAGGCACGAAATTGCGGTGTCTCCAATCAGTCTAGCTAGTTGAATGCTCGCTCCAGTGCTACGTATATTTGAACGTGCGCGCGCGGGAATTTTTTCAGAGAGGCAGCATCTCGGGGTAATACCTCTGCGATCATCTAGTCTGTCTCACGCCTAAGCGCGCCCTGCTCGCCTAACGCATGTACGTAGTGCGCCACTATGAACACTCCATTAGGCTATAATGTGGGAAAAGACCATCCCTTGTAGATGCTTCAAGCTAGGAGGGATGCAAGATCGTACTAAGGCAGGTCTCAGAGTTGAGCGGTCGACTATCAATGTAGGAGTACGACTACTAGGCAAGTAGGCGCTTAGGCAATTATTCAGTGCGCGGAGCAACGCTCAATCGCCCATGTAAGATCTCCTGAACTCTGAGCCTTGCCTGGGCATCGTTTTATACAATCGTTCTTTAGCGGCTGGTGTTTCTCGGATGATATGAGCTTTCTAAAATCACGTGTTTCATCGCTATCCTCAAGTGGCGGCAATCTCTACGACCACCACCGAACCTCCCCTTTCGTGGAATATACAGGTATGCATGGCTAGTTCTGAGGTTCTCTTTTTCTCATATTGCTTGCTTATAGAACAGAAGGTGAAACCGTTCGTAAAGACGATATTTTGGTATGTCAGGCAAAGATGAACTACCATCCTGGACTCAATGTGAGTACTGAGAATTCGAAATTTAATCTTCTCTGTCGTGAACTGTTTCCAACTTCTTGTATTACTCCCTCGGTTTGTCCATGGGCTTTTTTTTGGCACTACTTTCCAGCTGTCGTCCAAATTTTTCGTGACTCTACTATAGGGTCATACTTATGGTGCCTGTTCCCACACCGACAACCTGGTTTCTTCCTTGTAAATTTTCTGAATTTGGGCACCTCTTTTGTCCGGGTACAGGTGTTTGTGATAAGTTGTCGATAAAGTGCCGGCATAGGTTATTACCATTGAGCTCAAAACAAGATTGGTGATCAGCTCTCCTTGCAGCCCTCCTGTATAGTACTTGTCTCATTTGCTGATGGTACCTCTGGTTGATAGTTTCAATTCTAGGTGTACTTCGAAGCCGACCGAACTGAGAAGGTTCTGAGATCTGCATGTGACGGCGTTGTTCGGATAACAACAGAGCTAATTAATCCAGATTTGACAAATCCTGAAATGACCGTTTATGAGTACAAGAAGGATATCGAATTGCGGAAACTCACTTTTAATGTAGTGCCATTTGAAATGTCCAAAACTTTCAATCTTGTTAGTGAGATATAGTTGTTGTATTTGTTTATGTGTCTTTCTTTTTGTACAAATAAATTTTAATAGGTTTCAAAAACATGGTGCCAGTTTTCAAGCAAAAACGTTGTCCTCTCCGAAGAAATACCTGCGTTCTTGTTTCTGTTTGTTTTCTGTGATCTTACCTCATTTCTGTTTTAGCATTATTGCAGCTGACAAAGTGTGAGGTTCTTCTGATAGGTTGAATTAGGGCGTCAATCGTGAGATGGAGAGGAACTGTGAAGGACCGAATTTGAAAAGGGGTACTTTTCTAATTCCTGTTGTACTAATTTGTGCCTATTTTGGCTGTTTCAGATGTTCATCGAATCTTAGAATTGATTGAGCATGTACAAGGAACAGGAGAAGTGAATTCACCTGAGTTGGCCTCTCTCCAAAGAATTCTTCAATCCGACTTCTTCAATGCCGTGCGTGAGGTTTACGAAACGGTGTACGAAATAGTGGATGTGGAGGGGCCTCCAGAGGTTTCATCTTTTGCATTACTTTTGTGGTAGTGTAATGTTTAATTGCTAGAGAAATTCAGTCCTGTTTTCCCATTAAGGTGCGGGCTTCTGCTACTGCAAAAGCAACCGTTGCCGCATTTGCCGCTGCTGAAGGACAGGCTCACCCACGTACAGTCGAATTACCAAAAACCGATCAAGGCCTGGGATTCAACGTTATGGGTGGAAAGGAAGCAAAACTCTCCCATTTACATATCGAGGTTTGTGCATAAATTTTAATAGTGTTCCTCTTCTGCACAGTCCCTTCTTGCAGAATCATCCCAGGTGGTGTTGCTGATCGTCATGGTGGTTTGAGGCGAGGAGATCAGCTCATTGCAGTGAACGGAGTGGTAAGGCTATTGTTTTGCTCTTCTCGATATAACCGAAAGTTGTTGTGAAAAGTAAAGTGCGGTCAACTTGAAAAGTTAGATGCTGAGCAGGACTTGATAAATAATCTAAAAATGTTAGCTTTTTACTCCGTAAAGTAAGACTAACCCTTCCTGCTGTTCTGGGTAACTTCTTTAGAGGTAGAAAAGCATTCCCGCCCCAAGGCTGTGTCAAGGCCGCGATCTCGTCGAAAATGAGTTTCGCTGATTTGCGCGATTCACGCGACGGGTCACGGAAATCACAAGTGCCCGATCAATACTGCAAGGTGTTCTCCAATCCTGCCGCCACTTCTGCTTGATAGTGATGGCTGAATGACGACTGCTCATGATTCCACTTGTTTCATATTCAGTGTTTCAAATGTTCAAATGGGGCACTTGCAATTTTTGCGATCCGTCGCAGGTTTCGCGCAAATCGCGAAAATCAGCGAAACCTGCGACGGATCGCGGACTCTGACACCAGCCTAAAAATCAAATAACGACATTGGCGAAGGCTAAGAAAGTTGGTCTTGCAAAGGTTATAACTTGGGAACGTATTTAATCTTTAAGAAGAATAAATGCCATTCATTCAGATCTAGTAAGGTTGGAAGTGAAAAAAAGCGCTGCAGACGACACCTCATTGCAAATTCTTCTACTGCACTCTTCCTCCTATTCTCGCCAGTTGGGGTGTAAAAGATTTTGCGACAAGGTCATACTAACATGTAGAAGCACAGTTGCAGGGCTTCTACAAAAATTAAGCTGCAAACTTTCATTTTCTATTTTTTACCTTTCTGAATTCTAATGCTCAAACGAAGCTGATAGAAGAGGCAGAGTAATTCGCCATGAAGAATTAGGTGTTAAGTGTATAAAATATTTGCAGTATCATTTCATAACAGATCATGTACAGTATTCTAGAAGGGAAATGGTACATGGTGAGATAGGATGCCATATTTGCGATCTCTGTTAAGAATTGTAATGTGAACAGATGTCAAGAAGTTGAAACTAAATAGCTGGTTATAGAATGTGGAAAGCGAATGTCATGAGAGGGCTGTTGATCTGCTGAAATCTGCGCAAGGCACAGTGCGACTCGTTGTTCGATACACGCCGCGTCTGTTAGATGAAATGGAACGGTCAGTCATCTTTAGGCGTTAAAGTTTTGCGTCACATCAGTTTTGCTGTATTTTAAGCTATTCTGATGTTTTTTAAGAGCGTTGCTAGAGAAAGATGTTGTGAGAATTGGTGAGGAGATGTTGAACAGAACGAATTAGATGATTCATACAAAAGCAAAAAGACGGAATGCGTGAGGTGACTACCTGATGTGACAGATTTGGTGGAGACTAAACGCTAGTGATGTTATAGGCGATAAAGAGAACTTTATAAGGGGAAGTGTCTAAAGAAAATGTGAGAGAGAATCTATCAATGGAGCAGTTTTTTGAAGAAACCAGGTTTTTGGGAATTAATGGTATAACAGGGCCTTCAAAGAAGAATGCGATCGAATCGAATTTCCTACCTTTGCAGACGCTTTGAGCGTCAACGGCGGCGCCTAATAACCAGCCAAGTCCTGGTCCATCACTTCCTTCTGCAAGGCGATAGCTCCTGAGAAATTGTACCTTGAAGGTGCTTTTTTGGGGTCTTCCTACACGTTGCCGCTATTTGTTCTGCTATCCGCCATTTTTGAATTATGTCGTATCTCCAGATGTGTTTATGGCTTTAATTGCTTTAATTTTTCTGCTTTATTTTTATATTTTAGGCTTTAGCTTTATATTTTGTTTGTTTGATCTTCTACTATCCCTTCTCACATACCCTTTACTCTCCAGAGTGAAAAAGCATTTCACTATCAGCACGTTCGTATAAGAAAAAGACAACATTGTTTTCAAGCTTTTCCAGCTAAACATAAGTAGTTCGTTCACTCGAGGGTGCGAAAGTCAATTCTTGGGTTCAGCTTTAAGTGTGACAAAATGCTAACAGAGGAACGTGACTTGTGGTGCAAAACTTTCACTGTTACAGAATCACATGTCCGCCTTAAACAGATTCGTTGTCTATGCAGTATTGGCATTTGTAATTGAAAGGTATCACTTTGTTCAGGTTAACTGCATTCCTCCACCCTTTAGTTTTCCTCATTTTATCGCACTCAGGAGCATGAATAAGGATAGGAGGTGTGTAACTTTTTTAGATTGTAAGGTGGACACTAGTTATAACTTCGTATAATGTTTGCTATACGAATATGCTAACCTTTTGGAGTTAAGTCCGTTGTGAAGTTCGTAAATTGTAAGCATCCAACTCTGAACGTGCTCTTCAATGATTTCAACTTTAAGTTTTTATTATTTTTTCTTTCTAACGGATTACACTGAATAACCCGTGACGTTTTCAAGCATATTACCACCAGCGTCTTTCAATTTTTAAAACGTGCTCGAAATTGTATATGGTGCAATGCAGTCATTTGTATGTTTTTTGTATTACGTGATTTTACTTTTGATGTTGCATTTCTCAAGCCCGGACTCTTATGAATTATTGTGCCCATGCTCTAGTCTGCCACTTTGCATTGGCCAGTGTTTACGATGCAATAAAATATTACAAATAGTCTCGTATGACATTGAAAATTGCGATGAAAGGACGCTTTCTTGTACTTGTAATTGTGCATAATAAAATGTGCCACTGCTTACCTTTTGTAGATAATTCGTGGATGCTACTTTCATCCAGAGTCGTAGTATATTGTGCATCACGGTTGTCTCGTAATTTCTGCATAAGCAGCAGTTCCCTTAAACCGCTAACAGCTGAGGACGTCAAGGTCACAGATAGGAGCACTTCAACGGCTTAAAGGTAACATTTACAGCACCTAAATTTTTTTTTTTATATTTTTGACTTACGTGTTCAGGAAGTCTTCAAGCCTGGTGAGCGATGTACGTGATTTTTTGTTATTTTTTTTTTTTTTTTTTTTTTTTTTTTTTTTTTTTTTTGTTGAAGTTGACGGAGGAGGCTGTTCTGGATTTGAATACAAGATTAAATTGGACAGTAAGCTTCAGAATGACGACCGACTTTGGAAAGGCGATAATGTCGAAGTTGTCATTGACGAGGTAGGGGACATTTCTAATCTTGTTGTTAGCATTGCAGCACTCAGTTCCTCTTCTTACTTTTACTTTGCTTGTTTTTTTTTGTTGAGCGAATGTCAGAGTAGGTGTCCCAGTAACATCGTGGGTGTCGCATAGGGCAGAAATCTGTCTAAGTTAATACAACTAGCATTTTGAAAACACTCCAAACCTCCGCTCGCCAAAAATAGCTCATCTCTATTCTAGTAAGAGGCATTTTGTACATTGGGAGGAAGAGAATCTCTGTATAAGTTTAGAGGAGTGGAGGGAATTTTTGTATGCGTGAAACACCGCGAAGTGCAAAATCCCTTTTCAAAATCAAAATCCTTTTTTTCGTAGAGGGTGATTTGTTCACATTCCCGAGCTCCTTCCTTTTCGAAAATGCTTGTTCATCGGCCTAGAGCTGCTTCTTCGCACATCCTGGCTGAGGATATACAAACTAAGAAAGAAAACGAAAGAGATAAGCCTAGAGCCGAAGTTATAGCATTACAACTGCAAGTCCAAAATTTATTTACATAAACTAACAACTTTTGGTTATTAAAAACTCGTTTTGTTTTTTTTTGCTTGAGAGCACCTGAATGACAACATCGAATAAACTGGTACTAAACACCTTGGCGAAAGCGCAGGTTTTTGCTCTTTCATCGCATTGGACATGTGCAACTTGGCGGGCGCTATTTGCCTGATGCACAAGGGCGTCAGCTTATCTCACAAGGTGCGTTTTTCGGAACTCAAAACTGAAAAGTGGCAAAACAGCCGGTTGAGAGAAGGGGCTTTTGGCAAGGAAACGCGCTGCTTATGTGCGCCCTCTCAGCGAAATATTAATGATAAAATCGTAGCAAAATGAGGAATCTGGAGTTTGGCGAGTAAGAGCCAGTTCGGGGGATGAGGGAGGGAAGGTCCGGCGATTCGATATGCGACATTCGCCGTGGAAGCCGGTGTATTTCACAACTATCTTTACCGTTGAACAACCCAAACTGGAATTGTTTGAAAATACCTGCTGAATCTTGAACGTTAAACTTTTTCAAGTTTACGTTACTGTCGGAATGCTGGAGTTGTTAGAACATATTTCGCAAGTATGTCGCGTATCATGTTATCCATAGAATTGAATTCCTTGACATTATTGTCTCTTATTGTTGTTTGCATTTATGCTTGTTTTTATTTGCTTGTTTGCTTCAGAATAGAAGTCGAGTTTGAATTAAACAAAGCGTGTTTTTAACCCCTCCATAGACTAAGCTGTTAATGTTTACATTGTTTATATGTTTATATAATATATGGTAATGTAGGTGCTAACTTAGTTGGGGAGGGGACCACGCGGCGGCGCGGTCGCTCTGTTCGTCTGCTCCTCCAAGGCTTAGTCCGCCGATGGCGCGTATTTCGAAACTGCCACGTGGCGACGAAATAGTAACTGCCCCTTGGACTAAGCCTTAGAGGAGCAGACGAACAGAGCGCCGCGCCGCCGCATGTCCCCCTCCCACACTCCCCCCCCCCCCCAACTTGGTTAGTGCCATTTATGGTAAAATGGTAAGGCCAAAAAAACTCGTAGTCTACGTGCTAAACACGGCTCAAGAGATTGCATTCGGGATAGGTACAGATTTATGTCGCAAATCGTGTCTCTGTTTGATCCTTTTCCGCTATTTAGCGTGCGCGTGCAATTGTATGTTTTGCATAAGTTTTTTTTTTGTACGAACCCTTTCATTCACTTATTTTGAGATTTTTAGATGTCCCTGGCATATCTGCGTGGAGCGACGATTGACTACATGGAGGACTTGATGAAAGCCTCATTCCGCGTTGTAAATAACCCTATCGCAGAAAAAGGTTGCTCATGTGGGTCGAGTTTTGCACCGAAGATGGGACTAGTATTTACTTTGTTGTTATTATGTTACGATAGATGGTTCTCTGATCTTCACTTTTCTGGGTAATATCATTCTGGAATATGGAAGCTTGTTTATCTCTTGAATCTAGAGCGGAAGTTGAATATTTAATGAGTCGAGATTAGTAGTCTTGGTAAGCTTCTTATTTATAGTCAGTCACATGCTCAAATTTTATTATTTAGTGCACTTATTTGTAAGTATGTGAATAGTTTATGTAACTCGTTTGATGGCATGGCTTATCAGCTTTTGTGCTTCTTGCTATATGTACTAGTTGTAGTTGAGGAGTCTTGGTGCTTTAGGCAAGAAAGCAGATTGGTAGCTTTCATTTCCTTCTATTTGCAGACCTCTAGGTTAGGCATGTTGCATATTTATTCAGTCTCAGGAAAATTGATAACTGTGCGAAATAAACAGTTTTTATTCTTCATAGGTCGTGCCAAATACTGCGCTTGTATATTGTCCAAGTAAAATTTTTAAAATGATTGCTTATATTCCGGTTTATACTTAGGTGCTGTAGTCGGTGTCATTAGGGTATACTATAAAATGGCAAGTAATAAGAAACAACAATTTCTTCACGACCCTTAAAATGGCTTCGCTCTTAATCACTTGAAGGGCGTCGCTTTTAAGGTTTTGCAGTCCTTATTGATTTTAGTCACCATATCTCATTTGGTGAGGTCCAAAGCCATTTGGAACTGCATTTTTGGCACGTATTTATTCGCCTGTTCCCTTCGTTTGGACTAGATTGATGTCGGCCCGTTCTGACGTTAAAATTCTTTGTAATAACAGTCTATGCTTGAATTTGAGATGTTACCATCGATGCGAGCGAGATTCTGTGTGAGGCTGGCGCACAATGTGCACAGATGCATGTCTGAGCAGAGTGCTTCCTTCACTTCAGAGCAAGGCAATTCACGATGGCGGCAACAGCAGGATTACAGAAAAGCGAACTATGAAGATTCTCAGCCAGTCACAGTCGAAAGGGTTAGATCAGCTCAATTCTATTTTTTTTCATTTGTTTTCAGTCAAAATCCTTCATTTTTACTTTTATTGTTGAGTTTCATTGACACATGACCTACCGACCTAAGCGGAAAAGCGATGATTCATAGGTCACTGTCAGACTATGCGGGAAGCAGCGTTCGCTTTACATACATGTTTGTGGTTGAACAGTGCTTGTCAATTTGGTAGGTTTAGGGCTACATCGTGCTGTTAAGGGATTCTCAGTGGGGTTAAGGGAGTCGTATCTTGCCATAAGGGGAGGAGAGGTCAGCAGCTTGTTTTTGGAAGTAATGAGAGTAGAATGGAAATAATAAAAGCACAATCTCTCAACTGATTTGAGGATAACTTTTAAATTCTTCATGATTTTAACGGTTAATCTTCGACTATCTACTTTGGCGTCACTGTCGCGCACATTTACTCTACGAGAACGCTAAATCTACCACTTTATATGGACGGCTCCACCATACTTACTAAAGAAGTTGCCCCTCAAACTCAGCTAAGCTAGGGATTTAAAGGGCGTGTGCTGCAAGGAAGTACATGCACCAGTGGATGCAGTCGTTAGAAACCAAAGGAAACGAGATGTGTTATAATCTTGGCCTAAGGTGCGGTAGTCGCAGAGCGTGGGGCTGGCCATCCTTTCGAAACTCCACCTCCACCTGGGCCCCACACACCGTGTGCTGCCAGCAGCAGCGTCGTTTCGACTATAATTTTGAAAGCGGGGTCCAGATCTACTTAAGTTTTCTGTGGTAAGCGCTAGCATCGAATCGGCATAAAGTTTTGTTGTCCACACCGATGGTGGCTACAATGGGTTAGAGGAAGCGTATCACGATACTTCACGCGTTTATTGAACCGCTAAGTGTCAGAGATAGATAGTGGTTGGACAAGCGTAGCTTTATGGAAGACACGACAAGATACATATATAGAAAGATACTTTGTGGAAGATACGACAAGATAGATAAGAAGATACGGCTGCTTAGAATGAGGTGCACTCCAGCATGAAAATCGAACGATAACGATAACCGTATCATATCTAGCACGTTGCTATTGCATCCCTTCCACGTCTGATAAGGAGGTGTAACGCCGAACCGGAAGTGGGTTCGGCGCCTTATCACGCCGTTGATAGGCGCTACTGCCCTTGAAGCGTCCTTTGTTGTCCCGTTCTGTAGGACCCCTAGCCAACCACTATGTAACTTTCAGTATCGTCTCCATAGGAATTTCCGTGACCACTTCCTTAAGCGGCGCACCTCAGTTTGCCTCTCGTCCATTATCAGAAGCTTTGGGCAAAAAAGGGGTCCCATTTTGCGTGTTCTTATTAAATTTTTCTGCTTTTTTCTCCACTTCTCAGCGTCCCTATTTCCACTGGAAATCCAACCCAATCTTATCGTAATCCCTCGTGTTAAGCCGCTTCTTTTGCCAAGAAATAATCACCCGCAGCTTCTAATTTTTTAAACAGCTTTCAATGTTGCTTTGCAGGAGGCGATGGTGGTATGCATCAGGTGCTCCTTTACTTGGGCTCTCCTGGTTTGTCACTTTGAAGGATATGTTAGGCATTAAACCTGTAAAGCTAGACAAGGATCCACTGAAGGAGAAAGTCAAGCAGGTATTTTCTGACTCATTACACCATATTGCGACTGTTTTTGATCAATTTGTTTAGTCATGGCTGCATCGAAAATATGGCCGGTATACGGAAGCAGTTCAGGTTTTAGAGATTGCTTTGGAGGAAGCTGAAGAACGCAAAGAGACTTTACCAATAACTCGGTCAGTTTTTGGATTTGTTCATAACCTTCAGGTGCTCATGTCGAAAGCAGAAATGGGTGTTCCTTTGGTCCTCATTTTGATTCGAACTCTTCTAAAGTACGACTTTTAGAATTTATGATGAGTTAGCCAACACCTACTATGAGATGGGCAGTCATGAGGAAGCCATCAAATATTTTCAAATTGTAATTAATCGGTTGGTTCTTATTTCTGCTCATGCTTGTAGAATCTTTTGAAAGTGTTTTTGCAGTTTGATTGGCTTACACGGAAAGCGCGACAGTGATCCTGAGTTCATCGGTGTGTCCTTGAAATTAGCAGATATTTTTGCACAAAAAGGACAGCTTGATGATGCCGAGACAGGGTTTTCTCATTGCGTTGCGATTCGTAAGACAATGCAGGTGGATCTTTATTGGCAAGCGGCGGTTTCTTGAAATGCCGATTGGTTTTTTTTTTGTTTTGGTGGAAATTTCGTTGGTCGACCAGAGTTTTATTTCTAGGTCAGTTGATGACACCATGAATAGGCCAAGCGAGCGTCACGGGTGCGCTCATCAGAAGGATAGACACTGGTTGACACCCAAGGAGGAGTTTACACAGATCCTCTTGCTCTGTTCGGCATGTGTTTAGAAAGATATGCGCATTTCCTTGTGAGTTGATTTATTAAGGTTTCCTTACTATTCAAAGTGATTACGAAATGATAAATCAGATAACTTATCGTGATGAGAATCGATTACGTGAAGCAGAAGAGTATATGGATGAAGTAATGAAGGTGAGTGCCCTTTTCATTCTTATGTAGTAGTAAATTAGGAATTGTTTGGTATATACGTTTAGATCTGTTATCAGATTTATGGAGCCAGCTCATTTCATACGATCAATCTGCTCAATAACTTCGGTGCTGCCCTTAATCCTAGGAATAGGTTAGTTGGTTTTTAGTTTATCGCGATCTATCGGCCACCAATAGTTTTTTTCTCAAGGTTTGAATTGGCGGTGAAGTATCTTTCAATCGGTATCGAACGGATATTATTTGTGAATGAATGTGCCAGCATGATCTCTGGCTATTACTGCAATTATGCTGAAGCTCTTTTCCATGTTGGAAGAAAGGTGAGGGTCTTTTAGGCTTTTAGGAGTTCGGGATTCAAATTCAAATTTCCGTTAATTCGAATTTCGCTATGTTTAGTGACCCTTATGCATATACAGTGATGAATTCGAGGCGCTTGTTATTTTTTCTCGAACCTTTTTTTAGTTCGTATGTACCATTGAAAACCATGATTTTTGTATTTCTTCTTGTGAAGAGCAATTCTGAAGAAATTGGTTGTGTTCCGGAAATTTTTTTTCCTGTTGCTGGTCAAAAAACCTCTTTTTATAGGACGAAGCTCTCGAGTGGGCCAGGAAAGCCGTGTTAGTAAGCAAGTCTGAAGAACCTCGTGTGCAACGTTATGCTGAAAGGTTTTTACGTGATCTCGAGAAAGACGCAAAAGGAAAGCGGACACGATCGTGGTGGTTACTTTGGTGATTGTGTAGAGACAAATAGGACTAATAAATGATATTTCATGTAATGTATGTATTTTGTGTGTGTATGTTTCTGCGCGTAGGAGCTGTTACGGTAACATTATTCCTGGTGTAGCAATTACTAGGACCGGAGTAATTTTCTTGCTTCAAAAAGCTGTGGAAAATTATTTGATGGGCTATCACTCCTAAGACGCTCAATGGAGAGGGCGAATGAAATTGGAGAAGAAACAATTTGCCTGGAAAAATCGCTGTCATAGCAATCATCAACAAGTGAAAAAGTATATAGCCTATAGTAAAAACTTTCACTAGAACTTAGGAAGTGAGGAATGATTCTGAATGCGCAACGGAAAATTGATATAGAAGATAAAGCATTTCCCGTTGTCAATCTTTGTAGATAACGGCCCCAGATTCGAATGGTATTTGAATGCGATTTGGCCTACAGAATGACTTACGGGGTCCAGCCGATGTAGACAAGTCGGCGTTTTTTATCCTCTTACATTAGACAAGTCTGAAACCGAGTAACAAATTTTGAGGGAGGGAAGGCTTGGTTGTTCCAGACGACATACGACTTAGGATGTTGATACCCGGAGCAGCGCCACTTGCTACTACACCACTTTCGCCCAGAAAATTAATATAATGTAAATATAAGGAGAGATTCGTACCAGTTGCATCATTTAACACTTTGGAGACCGCGCGTGTTTTACGTTCCGCGGCCGCGCGGGACTTCGGTGAAATTTTTAGGGATCTTATCTAGCAAATTCAAAAGAAGAACCCACTGTATAATGCAGAAGAAATCTTATCGGATAAACTGAAAAGAAAATGAATGAAAAACCTAATAATTGTTTACGAAATGCGAGCTGAAAGGTCCTATGCGGTCGGAGGACTGCAGCCCACATATGGGCTGCGTGGCTCCTCCAAGGTGTTAAAGAATGTCGCCAGATCACTCGTGTGGCTCTTTTTGCACACGAATGTGAATGTTCGGTGCCGAAAGTGGGCCGGCAGTGAAGAAAAAAGGAAAAGAATCCGTTGAAAACGCTCAGGTTGAGGGCTCACTCACCTTCCTAATTGGCTGTGCTAAAGGGAATGAGAGACTAAGCGCGAGAGGTCGTATAACTCTCCGCGCTTCGATTCTCTTCATTCTCGAGAGAGAGAGAGAGATTAGCAGATGAGAGATCGTCCAAGATTACAGCCTGAATTAGAGTAAGAAAAATTTACAGGCTTGGGCAAGCTCCCTTCGCAGGCCCAAGCGCTCTTGCCGGTTGGTTTCGGTGCACGGGCACGCCACATATGTGATCGTCTCCTGAAGGGCTATACTACACACCGAAGAGAAGCGTTCACGCCTGGCTTCTGCCTGGGTTGTGCCTTTGATGCAGCACAGCCGGGGTGGTATCGTGGTCAATGGCTCCTGCCGGATTTCCTGTTCCGGAGATGAAATCCTCTTAGAACTATGCCCAAGCCACTCCAGCCTTTCGTCCTTCAGAATTAATTATTTTCAGACTTCTTCGGCAAGGATGAAGACGCTGTTTTTCAAATTGGCTGACCCTGCATGTCATTGAGTAAATCGCATTAGAAGCATCAGCGATCTCGAGTAAAGGCTTGTATTTAAACCTTTGTTATGATCGTGACTGACGACTATTCGCAGCAATCGCCATTTAAAGCAACAGTCCAGGCAGGGTTTCAACTACTTGGTCATTAGGCGGTCAAAACATGCCCCAGCCCAACTAAAGTTTATAGGAAATGTCTTTAATTTCAAAACCTACCTCTAAAATGCGCTGGAAGGGGTCGAAGTCCTCTTGGAGGGGGCGGATCACCCATAAAGAGGCGGATCGCCCAACATACGCTGTGCAGAGTCCGCGCTTGACTAGCGGTCGTTGCGGGACCGCCGCGCTGTATGAGGTCGATTCCATAAGAACGCAATTGAAGCGCTTCAATTTCGATTGCTGGCAAGTAGTTATGTATTTGCAATAACCAC